AAAAAAAAAAAAAAAAAAAAAAAAAAAAAAGCTCGATGTATTCCAAACTACGGCTAATTTAACGCTTCGTTGCTGGCAAAAGACGTCTACGATGTTTACTCATTTATTCTCAATATACACGTTTTACACAGACACGCAGACGCGGACACAGACAGTCACAACATTAACATACAAACTATAGACATCACACAAATACACAAACAAACACATTTTAAAAAATCCTTCTATATAACAAATTGCTGTTGTGCAAAATCAGCAAACAGCAGCTGAACCAAAAAAAAAACAAAAAAAAAAAACCTTCCCCTTCTTTGCCATTCTAATTTTTTCTGTTGCAAAAATTGGCGATCACAATTTAGCAATGATATTGTTGTTTTATTTTCTTATTTTTTTTTTTTTTCCTCTTGGTATAAACTTTATGCTAAAGTATAGTTATCCGTTCCATCACTGCAGCAACGATTCAAGAATAAAATCAAGAACAAAGAGAAAAAATAACTCAATAACAAAAAATATATATATATTTATAAATAGCAATCCTTTTTAATTAGTCACTTATGCTCTTGTACATAAATAACCGAATAATTTAAATAATTTGAAATATTAGCGTTAAATGAACGTTAAGTGGTAAAAAAAATGGAGACTTTTCTGAAGAAAGAAAAAAAATTTCAGGAAAATTTTAACTTAAAAAAAACAGCAAACTGAAGTAAAAATAAAGAATGTTGCAACATTTATAAAATAACTTCCTTTTTAATCTTTTTTTTTTTTTGTTTTCTCTTTACCTTCCTATTGTTTCTTACTTTAATAACCAACAGTTGTAAATGCTAAATGAAGAAACAAAAAAATAAATAAATAAATAAATATAAAAGACAAAACTTAAAATAGACCGCAAAACCTGCCCAATTATTAAGTTCCAACAGTTTTGCCTCCACCGATCATCAGCAAAGCCAAAATCGTAAACAACACAATTAACAGTGATATTTGGACGGTACGAACATGCCGCTATTGTCAGGTACATGAGCCCTCGAACACAACAAGCTAGCCGTCTAGTAAGCTAGCAAAGCTAGTAAGCATCAAGACAAAGCATCAAAAATTCAAACTGTTGACATCTGGCCAATAAGCAAAATCTGCCTCTTGTTTCTCCTACTGCAGCGTTTTAGTCCTGAAACAGCGCACTACCAGTGGTGGTGCTGCAACGCAATCTCATCAGTTAGCTCCGTCCTGTTTTGCTGGCTGTTCACTTTAAATCTTTCTCTACTCTGCTGTTACCTTGAAATTATTGAAA